TCCTCAGGAAGAATTGGACGCTTTCAAACTCGCCATTCTCGGACCACATCCAGCTTCTCCAGCGACTGTTGAAGAGCAAGTTGGCTGCTTCCGGATTCTCTCCTAAAGTCCAGCCCTCAATGCAAGGGTAACCAACTCATCACCCCAAGCACAAACTAAACATGCACACCGGCTAACCTTCCAAAGCATCTACCAACCAGTTCTCATGGTCCTATCAATGTTCAACAGCATGACTCGCCCCGACGTGATGGCCTGGTACGCCAAAACACGCTTCTTTCACATCATCGAGCTCACCGCCTGGCAACTCTACCCCTCCGCCGCCACCTTCGACAAGCTTCACCAGCGCTACCGCCCGACGGAGGCGCAGATGAAGCACCCGCACCCCCGCGTCATCGACTGGATCCCCTTCCCCTCCATCCGCGACCGCCTCATCCAGCTGCACGCCGCCAACCCCCACATCGACCAGATCTTCTGCGACGCCGTCACCGGCTACGTCGTCGAGACCACCATGTCCGACCTCGTCCGCGGCGCGCCCGACGTCACCGTCTACATCCGCGTCACCGACCTCATCACGGCCATGTCAACCACCACCACCGACGAGGATGCCGACACGACGACGACGGCAGTTACGCTCCCGGCGCCGGATGTGACGGCTCTCTTCATGTCGCCGGCGTACGCCCGCGCCGCGTTCAAGCAGCTCAACATGGACAAGGGCGCGTCGTATTACAAGATCGACCCGGCCTTCTACGCGAAGTACCCCGAGCTGTACGACCACGCCAACGACCTCACCGCAAGCGGCGTGCCCCTGCGCCCGAGATCCCAAAAGGTCCTCACGTACCCGCGGCCCCTCGACGCCTCAACCGTGGAGACGTACCGCAGTTTCATCGACTTCTCGCTGGACGCGTCGCAGACGATATCCTCTTGACCACCCCCCACCCCCCCCCCCCCCCCCCGACAAAACGCACGATGAGGGACACACGGGTCAACATCAAGCTCCCTGCTCCCTGCCAAAAGATAAGACAACCCGGGATCCCCATCCGGTCCCCGCGATGCCGAACATATCCGCCATCACGCCGCAAGTAGCCGTACTTTCATTTTAAAGTTTCGAGACACACGCGACATGTTCCTGTCAGTATTTTGTTGAGCATGAGCACCGACCCACCGGGTTCCCGCACTGACTAACGTAGCAGTTAGTAACCCGCTCGGATTTTATGTCATCGGACGATAATGCGTTCCACGGCGCTCCATGCCATCAGCAACACAAAATAATCAAGGTCAACATGTATATAGAAATTCCCCCGGGAGCTGCGGTTTGAGCACACAACCTCCCACCCTCTTCCATCATCTCCCTAATCAGCAACCCCCAAACCCACAATGCCCTCCCAATTCCCCGCGCCCACAGCGGCCCCCCGCTACAGCTTCCTCGACGACTACTCCGAAGGCGCGCACCCAGCCCTCCTCAAAGCCATCATCGCCACAAACACAACCCAAGAAACCGGCTACGGCGGCGACACCTGCTGCGAGGTCGCTCGCGGCCACATCCGGCGGCACCTCGGCCGCGCGGACGTGGGCATCTTCTTCGTGCCCAGCGGCACCTCCGCCAACGCAATCTCCATCGCCGCCTGCCTGCGCCCGCACGAGGCCGTCATCGCCGCGTCCTCGGGCCACATCGTCACGCGCGAGACGGGCGCCGTCGAGGCGTCCGGGCACAAGATCATCAACGTCCCCCCGCTGGACGGCGGCAAGCTCACGCCCGCGTCGATCCAGCGCGCCGTCGATGATAACTGGCACTTCCCGCACATGGCGAAGCCGAGGCTGGTGTACATCTCCAACGCCACGGAGATCGGGACGGTCTACTCGAAAGCCGAGCTCGCGGCGATCAAGCAAATATGCGAGGCAAACGGGCTGCTCCTGTTCCTCGACGGCGCGCGCATCGGCACCGCGCTGGCCAGCCCCGCCAACGACATGACGCTCCGCGACATCCTCGACCTCACAGACATCTTCTGGATCGGCGGCACAAAAAACGGCGCCCTCCTCGGCGAGGCCGTGGTCGTCAAAGACGCAAGATTAGCCTCCGAGTTCGAGTTCTACGTGAAGCAGCACGGCTCGCTGCTGGCCAAGAGCCGCGTCATGGGCGCGCAGTTCGCGGAGCTCTTCCGTGAGGAGCTGTACTTCGACCTCGCGCGGCAGGCGAACCTGTGCGCGGCGCGGCTGTCAGCGGGGATTGCGGGTGCGGGGTTCAGCGTGTACGCGGTGACGCAGACGAACCAGGTGTTTGCGGTGCTGCCGGTGGGCTTGATCGCGGCGCTGCAGGAGCGGTTTGTGTTTTATGTGTGGGAGAAGAGAGGCGATGGGGAGGCGGTTGTGAGGTTGCTTACGACGTGGGCGACGGAGGTGGGGGAGGTTGAGAGGTTTGTGGGCGTGGTTCAGGGGTGGGGGAAGGCTTGAGATGAATGAAAGCGATTGATCAATTTTATGAATGACAAAAATACAAGACTAATGCCATGATATCAACATCTGCCCCCCCCCCCCCCCCCCCCGTCCGCTGGTATTATCTTAATGCAGGATCCTCAAAAATAACTCCATCAGCAATGAAGCATGTTAATCCCACTGCAGCACCGGCACATAAGGACACCTGACAGGCCTTCTACCAACCATCCGGAAAGTGTATCCTCGAAACGCGGTGTAGTAAAGTATGTCAGTCAGACCAGGGAACTCATCTGCAGCGCGCGCCAGCCAAACAACACTGTCGTCCCATCCGTTGGTCCTATCTGGAACGCAAAGGAAGACCCTCTTCAGGGTTCGAGGCAGGCTTGAAACGAAGCGCTCCGGCGGGCCAATGATCCAAGGCAGCGTGTGGGAGTTTGCCGGTTGAGATGCTGCGGGACGCCTCTCACTGCCTCCAGCTACGGCATCCAGATCAACCCAGAGACTTTCCAGAACGTCGAATCCCCGCAGAGCGTCGATTAAAGTGTCGGAGGTGGAGGATCCGGGGAGGTAGTTATTGCCGCCGACGGGCAGGAATCTGAGGCAAAGTGTTCGGAGGGTTTTGCCATGGCAGGCTCCCAGAACGGCGACGACTTGAGAAGGCAGGGAGAGACTCGGTGTCCGTCCACTGGTGACGCTGTACTTGAATGTTGAAAGGGGTGCACAACGACGGAGGATGATTTCTAGCCCCTTAGGAGCGAACGTGCTGTCGCTGAGAATGAGCGCGGTGACGTTGTCCAGGACGCCCAACAAAAAAGAGAATGGATTGTATCTCCATTCTAAGGTGCTCGTTTTCGAGTTCATTGTGTCGATGTAGAGATGTTTGACGGGTCCCAATCTCATCAGGAAGTCCAGATCATGACTGACTAGACCGCTCGCTTTGGACCCCCTAAGAGAAATGGCCTTTAGCTGGGAGAGGTTCGGGATGAACTCGCGAGGGGACCACCCGTACCCATTGATCCTAGGTCTGAGTAGGTCTGAGTCCCTCACATCGACGCCAATGTCCTCCAGATTAGTCATCTGCGCCATGACGATCTTGACGAGGATGCCGTAGCGCCTGATAGACGCGTTCCGATTAGACTTCTCCTCATAGGTGGATAGAAAGCCGGAGAGCCAGTCAGGCTGCGGCATCTTCCCATAGTTGCAGAGCACCTTGAGCCTCGCATCCTCGTAGTCCAGACGCAAGTCCTTGATCGCCATGAGAATGGGCAGCGTGTTGTCGGGACCAAGGTCCAGCGGACCGGGATCACGCCGTGATATGCAGACATAGAGCTGTTTGACTGCGAGGGCGAGCTCCGGGGCTGACTTGAAGAGCTTCAGGAGGTTGAAGAGCTCATGAAAGGAGTCACGGATGATGAGCGTGCGGTGGAGGAGACCGCGGTGCATGATGACGTTCCGGAAGTATCGGCTGGTTACAGAGAGGTCTCTGAGAGATCGCCATTCAAGCAGGAGGACCCTGTCAATGGGGTTGTTCTCATGACTGGCCTTGGCGAAGCGGTCTCTCATCGGGTGCATCGGGCGGATGTAGTCGCATATCATCTCGATCAACTCAGACGGCAGACTGGTGAGGCGAGCCATTTTTGCGTTGACCAATGGCGACAGCTGGTGGGTGACACTGAAGTTACAGGATGCCACAGAAGGCGAGGATGGATTGCTTGAGCGAGTAGTTGCTATTGTCGTCCAGAGTCGCAATGAATGGCACAAACGCGATGAGGACTAGAGCAGCAGCTGTTGACTTCAGATTTCATCAAGATGCCGGCTTGATATACTTTAATCTCACCTGTTTAGAGCAAAGACGTATTGCTCAGTCGTCCAAATTCAATACCTAGTCATGGAAGCGTTAATAAAGTTGTTTGGGTTCTCTAGAGCATAAAGCTGCGGAGTACACATAAAGCAGGTATACAAAGCCTTTTCCCCATACCTTTCTGCTGGCAGCCATGCAGAACACAGGAATTCACTTTCATTGACTTGACTTGGAGAAATAATAGAAACGTTTCAAAATGCTGTAGTCAAGATTGAACTTATTCCTCCAAAGCGGTCCCAAAACTCTTCGCGAAATCATTGGACAAACCAGCCCAGATGGGTGGCTGCTAAAAGATTTCGCAACTTCACTAGAGCCACTGAAGGCGGTCGGGGCATGAAAAAGGAGGCTTTGTAAAAGGCTGTAATGGATGCTCTCTTTCGTTGAAAGGTTCTTTGCATGCTTTCTACGCCGGCTCTTGTCACCGAAGTGTTACAGTTAGCTCACAGATGAATATCAACGACAGAAGACAAAGTGTTTTCAAAATATCCTAATGATGCTCGAGCTCAGTGAGGCACCAAAGGTAAGACGAAAGGATTCCACGCCTTTTATACCTGAACTCATCCCTATTGCTCAAGATTGTAGCTGAAGTTCGAAGACATGAAAACTCAGTATAAAATCTTTTAACAGCCAATGAATGCCCCAGTCCCAACCAATCGGCTGTGGAGTCGAAGATTATTTCGATAGGCGCTCCAAGAAAACGTCATAGTTCTCAATCTTTCGAGGGGATGGTAGGGTCCATGAAGAATTTAACGATGTCTTCTGCTCGCCCCAATGGGCATATCAAAGAGACGTCTTGAGGCCTTCTCAGCTGATGAATGAGGGGTAGAGACCTGGCTCACTTACATTGGTCTGGACGGACGAGGACCACAGCCCCAACTGCAGCATCGACGCCGTATTTGGCGTAAGCTTCGCCATGACCAGCATGATAACTCTGGTCATCAACGAAGACGTCCTGGAGACCTAAGCATTGGATAGCTCTCGTCAGCGAAATGGAGCCTTGATGGACACAAGTATGTGGTGTTGATGGACTTACGTCGCACTCCTCCATGTCCTGTGTTTGGCATGAAGAAGCTGGGAATCTTCCTCTCATCCAGCTTTTTCCGGTCAGACTTGAGCAACAACACTGGGTGAAAACGTTCAAGAACCAAGCGTTCCAGAGCAGCGGCCAGTTCTGAGGTAGCCTGGTATGATGATTAGAATATCAATGGGTCCTTGACAAAGGTCGTGTTGGCCGACACATCGCTCAGCCTACCTGTAACAAACGAGCCGCGCCTTCTGCATTGTTGATATCTCCCCCGAAAACAACCACGTGCCATCGAGAATCAGACTGCAAGGCCCTCGCCAATTGCATAACCCGGGCATCAAAAACGCGGACTACTTGCGCGCTCGGAAATCTCATTCCCACGCGCACACCCGATGCCAGCTTATCAGCCTCGCTTGGCCGAATCAGAATTGAGGGCTTGTACTCTATTGCGAGCCCGGCTGTGTATCTCCCTGATTTGATGAAATAGTCCTGAAAGTCTTCCGCGGTGACACCATGTTCCTTCCGATACGATGATGAGAAAAGGTTGGTGAAGTGGCGATCGAACTCAATCAAATCGTTGGCGGTTTCTTGCCGCTCGGAGACATATGTCTCCAATATCGCGGGATCGTTCTCCATTTTTATCACAGCCGCGAGCTTCCATCCAATATTGTACCCATCTTGAAGACTCACATTCATACCCTGGCCAGCTTTCGGGGAATGGGTGTGACATGCGTCCCCAGTCAGGAACACACGGTGGTCTTTGGTGAAGTTGTTTGCGAGGCGTTGGCCGATAGAATACGCGGAGAACCACGAAGTTTCTACAATGTCCACCGTATACGGGCTGAATATCTGGTCAACCCGATGCTTCACCTTGTCAGGTTTGACGTCGCTTGCCGCCCAGCCAGGCATCTCCATGTAGAAGCGAACTTTCTCGTCTCCTTCTCGCGGGATGATGACGAGGTTGCCCGCTGGAGATTGCAGAACGCACTTCTTGCGGATGTCAGGAAAGTCTGTTTTGGCAAAGACGTCCATCACGGCCCAGACGGCGTCGGTGCTGTCCCCGACCATCTTGAACCCCAGTGATTTTCTGACGGAGCTGTGGGCACCGTCGCAACCCTTGAAGAACCTAATTAGCAACCCAATTAGGTGTCGCAATGGTTGGAGTCGTACCAGGGCATATTTCGCTCGATACGTGCGCTCAACTCCGTTTTCTACCGCCTTGACCGTGACGCAATGAGCCTTTCGATCCTTGGCTAACTGGCTGTCTACCTCGACACTCTGGACGTCGCTGCCATACTGGATATGAGACTGACCAGATACGCGTTCGATGTCTTTTATCATGAATTCGTTGATGCGGGCCTGAGTGTCTCATTAGCCCTGTTCTTAAAGCTCTTCATGGAAAACATGCGTACTTGATTCAGGATAACATGGGGCAGCCAACTGAGCCCCGGCTCCGTGTCCGGCTCTAGGTGGGATCTCCGGATCCCGCCGTTACCGTCCGGAGTCCAAAATGCGAGCTCCAGAACATGGTACGCTTCTTTCAACAAATCCTCCGACAACCCCAGACTCTCCATAATCTCGACTGTCCGGCACTGCACGCCGTCGGCTTGGCCTTGCTGGAGCGGACCCTCCCGGCGCTCGAGGATCTTGAATTTGACCCCGCAACGAGCTAGCCAGACCGCTGCGCAGAGGCCCGCTGACCCGCTACCGCAGATAAGAACGTCGACTTCTTCGTCGGGCATGGTGGTTAGCTGTGTCTAAGAATCCACAATCGAGAAAGATTGTCACAAAAGAGGCAATGATGCAGGGGATTTGAACACGAAGCGAGTTGACTACTATCAATTTGACCCAGTCAACGGCTCCATCGGGATGACCGGGCGATGCCGAGGGCGGGGTTAAGTCAATCTCCCCGATCGGATTGCCGCGCGGGGTGATCACTGATCATGGCGCAACGGGTTTCTTTGTCTTTCATGACCCGCGAAGATCTGTTGAATGATCAGGTCGGATAATGCCAGCGAATGAATTGTCGTACTACGGCCGCAGATGAGATCGACGTAGGTAAACTGCCGATTGAATACGAGGAATGTTCTGCCCGCAATAAGCTCGGGTCGTAATCAAAGGCTATTGTCAAGCTTAGTGAGCCTCAACCTTCTTTAAGTTGACGACTTTCTTTCCCAATTGGCTACGAACACAACGCGATCTATATTTTCCAAAACCTATGCATAACTGAGTCTTGCCGGGGTACTTACCACGCCTTCTATTCTTTCGGTAATCAGTTCTGACGAACATTGACAGTGTGGAGGCTACTACCTACGGAGGTATGATCTGCCTTATCGCGGGTCCCCTGATCCTTATCACCCAATATCTGTTATCACAACGGCAAATCGTACATAGTCTGTTCCGATCCCTTGCTTTCCAGAAGTGTTGGGACGGTTGGTCTCCTTACTTTCATGAGGTCATAGAAGCCTGATGCCCCCACAGAAGCGGATGTTATCACACGAATCCAATGCAAAGGATTCTAATATTTACTGTTGGAAACTTGGCGTCAGCACTACGTCCCCGGCAATTGATCCCCTCAACACCTTGGCGATTTATCTTGGCGATTGAGATACCGCACTCTTGGTCGGCAAGAAGCCTTGCAACCATGCCGACAGGCACTGCAACCTGAGCATCTGTGCCTCAATTGCGGAGGGCAGGCAGGGGTGATGGCGCCAACGCCACGTTCAAATGATGATCGGCCCGGGGGAGACGCATTGCAGAATCGGCTTGGTCGCAGAGGCCACCCTCAGCCCCTCTCCTTGCCTAGAACGTCAAACTTCTCAATGCAGAAATCCCATGTCGCTGTTCTTGAGAGATTTGATCTTGAGGGATACAGTGGCGATGAAATGGCGTACAAACTTGGTATAAAACAACAATTTTCCACAGACAACAATGGTTGGCGTTGCGTGATGAGGGGCTTAACGGCGTGTCTTGCCAACGGCCCCAACTAGTGGTGAGGTTCTTATGTTAAGTCGAATGAGGAAGGTGATAGTACTAGCTTGGGCCTTTTGTTAAGAACAGTCAGTGAGAACTGTGGAATTCGGGACCGCGGGCCAGTTCTGGGCGTTTTCCGCCGAACCCCTGTCGCGTTGCAGTGCTGCTACTGCAGAGGGGATATTACCATGACACCACGAGATGGTCTGCATGTTGCTATCTGCAGGCCAAGGAAGGAAGGTAAACAGATGGACTTTTGCCCGGTGCAGCAGCGCCGCATGCATGGCAGGGCATATAAAAGCGACTCTCATGCCTCCCGGACAGTGCTCCATGAGCTGCTCGCCATCTTGTTCTGCTTGCACTCTGCAGTGGATCAGCTCAGCCATTCGTTGTTTTCGGTCTCGTCAGACTGAATATCAAACACAGCCATGAAGTTCTCTCTGGCTGATAGCAGCGCTGTTGTGCTTGCTCTGGCAACTCAGCTTGCCAGTGCGGCCGATTGCAATGCCGACAACTGTCTCCGCGCTCTGAGGGCCACTCAGACTCCGGGTCGCCTTGAGACTGCGCGCGCTTTCTGTGCCACTTTCACGGCTGGCACAGTTGCACCCACTGCCACTCCGGCCTTTGCTCTCGACAACTGCAAGGCCAACCAAGTTGGCAATGCTGAGGTCCGCATCTCAAGCGCCTGCTCCTGCATTGCTGCGCCGTCGACCACCACCAGCGTGGGTACTCCCACTGGGGCTGCTTGCTCTGCAGTCAGCGCTTCATGGGCCGCTCAGCTCGCAGCAACCGCTACGCCGACTGTGGAGGCCAAGCTTGCCTACGACTGCATCAACTCTGCGCCTCTGAACAAGGCGGCGGCTCTCAAGTTCATCGACGAGCTGAAGCCGTACCTGGAGTGGCAGTCCGACTTGGCTTTCTTGAAGGACCCCCCTGCCGACTACTTCTTCCCGCCCCACGATCTCTTCGGTGCTCTCGACAAGGTCCGTGCCGGTATCGAGGCTGACCAGTACCCCAACGAATACTCCTGGCAGCAGGACATGTTCATCAATGTCTTCGGACCCGGCCACGACGGACACTTGTACGTTTACTCAGATATTCTCACCAACGCCATTGAGTGGCAGAGACCCTATGGTCTTGTCTCGATCAGCGAGGACGGCAGCTCCACGCCGGTTATCAAGATCTACGAGGACATCATCTCAACCCCCGACACCGCTTCCGCTCTGAAGTTCATCAACGGTGTTGATGCGGTCAAGTTCATCGAGGACCTCATCTTCAAGGTCACTGGCAACCAAGATGCCGATTCTGCCTACAACTCCATGTTCTACGAGAAGGCCTACGGAGCCGTCGGAGGCACGGGCTACTTCAAGCGGGGCGGCCGTACTCGTTACGTCTACCCTGGCGAGGTGACGTCCTTCACCTTCGAGAACGGCACCTCTGTCGAGCTTTCCAACGTTGCCAGGCTCAAGGGCAATTGGACCGGCGTCGTCGACGGCACCACATTCTTCAAGAAGTTCGCCCCCGGCGCCGTCGCCGCCAAGGAGGCCGCCCCTACCACTAGCGCCACGCCGACTAGCTCCGCCGCTCCCGCTGCCACCCCTACTGGAGTTCCCGGCTACCCTGCCCCTGTCATCATCAGCAGCGACGAGATCGTTTCCGGTTACTTCATTGATCAGCCGGGCTTCGAGGATGTCGCAGTCTTGGCTATGCTCTCTTTCTCACCCGAGGACCCTCCTGAGTTCCAGAGGGTTGTTCAAGACTTCTTCGCGGCTGCTGTCCGCGCTGGAAAGACCAAGCTCGTCGTCGATGTACAGGTTAATGGCGGTGGCTACATCTTCCAGGGCTATGACACGTAAGTGACCCCCCGTTTTTCAGGTTGAAGCACTTCAGCTTGATGAGAAGGGTGTTGCTTACATATTTTCACAGATTTCGACAGATCTTCCCCGATATCGTCCAGGAGGGCACTGGCCACTGGCGCTACTCCCCTGGCTTCAAGGCCGTCTCGGAAGTGTTCTCCAAGAACTGCGAGGGATATGACCCCGAGACAGCTTCTGACGAACTGATTCAACAGTGCGAAGCTGTTTACAACTGGGGCTATGACCTGGACAGAAACCTGGACAAGTTCACTTCCTACTCGGACAAGTTTCCTCCGGTAAGTTCTAATCCGCACATATGTGAATCGATTTTCAAATGCTAACATGACCATTCAAGGCCGTGTACAAGAACGACCAGTACACAGACCTCATTCAGTGGGACTTCAACAACCCCCTAGACACCACCAACACCACTTACGGTATTGGATACGACATCACTGGTTACGGCTCTCGCAAGAACTTCACCAGGCCTTTCGGCGGACCTGAGAACATTGTTCTCCTCTTTGACGGCTACTGCGCCTCGACTTGCACCCTGTTCTCTCAGTTCATGAAGTGGGATGCCGGAGTTAAGAGCATCGCCATGGGTGGCCGTCCTGAAATCAAGGGCAAGATCCAGGGCGTCGGCGGCGTCAAGGGCTCGCAGAGCTACGGCTTCAGCAGCGTCTACGGCTACACGCAACTCGCAAAGGAAAATACCGAGGACCCCGCCCTGATTGCGGAGCTCGACCGCTTCACGACTTATGTCACCTCCCGTTCCTCGGCCGCCGGTGTCAACGTCAAGGACGAAATTCTCCGCCAGAACTGGGATGATGGCACCCCCGCGCAGTTCATCGCCGAGTACTCCGACTGCAGACTCTTCTGGGAGGCCAGCATGCACACCGACATCACCAACCTCTGGAAGGCTGCCGCTACTGCCGCTTTCAAGGGTGGAAAGTGCGCCTTTGGCGGCATTGACTACGCCTCCACCGGATCAGCTACGAAGCGTACTGCTGAGCGTCCGGCGCCCTTCAACAGGCCTCGCATCGGTATCCCGAAGGGTGTGCCGAAGCGCGTGCCTGTGGCCAAGCGCGATGTCGACGCCCCTAAGCCGTGGACGTTCGAGGCCAACCAGCTCATGGTTGCTGAGAACTAAGGCGGGATATGCTCAAACTCGAACAAGTAATACAGTAATTTAATAATATTAGTTATTAAGAGTATTGATGATTAACACCAAATTGTCATTGAATACACCTTCGCAAGTGGCTGTTCAAGTGTTATACGTGAGTCAAACAATGCAGAGCGATCAGCCTTCTTCCTGAACCTTTAACAGCCGAACGGCGAACGTTCACATGGCCGCGACTGCCGTGTGATAAATGAAGCTCAATCCTCATACCTCCTTCTCCGAGATACATTGAGCTCGAGATAAAGTCAGAAATAAACGATGTCCTTTTCATTTCAGATGGGCAGTGAAATATTTGATAGTCAGCGTCACTTCCGCCAATCTTCTATTGGGCGAGCATCGTGACTAATGTTTGTTAGCTTTCCCTTAGGCCATCAATCCGAATTCCCCAAAACCGTTTCCCCAAACCCTCAAATAGAATTTCAATATCAGTCATCGGTCGTGGGCTTGAATAGAGGATGGTCGTTAGCGGTGGTGGCCTCTCATTTTCCCTGTGAAACTACGATATCAATCGCACCAAAAACGGCCTTGAATGCGCTCGTGACAGTTGACAAGACTTGAAAGGTCGACAACTTCTTATGTCGTATCGTATTGCGACTCATCTTGAGCGGGTTATTGCCTCCAGCGCTCAACTACTTTTCCGTTGCTGGTTCACTCGCGACGTGCAATGACGTGGTGTTTCAAGTTACCTTATCATCAAAGTTGTCGATGTGCATCACGGTTTAGATCTAATTCGGTAGAAGGTGTGCTAGAAACAAATGACATCACTGAGCCCGACAAATGGGGAAGACTTCGCATATGGCAGATTCGCAAGAGCTGAGGGCTGGCTGGGCTTCCACGTATTGCCAAGAGGCAGGGGTTTGAGAATCATTGCAATCAAGCTCATTCCTGAGTGCGACGCCACAACACGACCTGCATATTGACGCCTTAGTGCTGACGTACCCGACCTTGAAATGTCTAACATCGCTCAACTGGGCATGATGCTCGCGCATGTCCCATCTCGACCGGGCGCAAAGCTCCTACTAGCGGCTAATCGTTTTCAAGATATTTTGGATGATCTGCCTTATCTCCCTTATCCCCTAGACCGGAAAGATCCAGCTTGCCCATGGTTGAAGAGCTGAATCAAAGAAAGGAAGAAATTGCACCATAATTTAAAACCGTTATTAATCCACTCGTTGAGCCAATGCTCCAGGCATCTACTCTCCCGGCGGTAAATCCAGACCTCTCAACTCCCCGATCAAGCTTTCAAACCCCTGGCGAAGTCGTCCCAACAAGGCTCATCGCCAACCCAACGGTTGATCTTATGTTCTCCTGTACTGCTTCTCACCACCACCAATATGAGAAGCACTATTATCACATGGCTTCTCGCCGTATTCCCTATCGCCACAGCCCTTCCGAATTCCACCGTTGAAGTCGACCTCCTCTTTCCCCGCGAAAACGCGACTTACACCCTCAATTCCACGGGCATCCCCGTCTTGCTGTCCATCCATAACCCCTCCACAGCTAACGCTTACGGCTGGACGTTCTACTGGGAAATATTTAAACAGCCGCATCCCGACCTGGATTGGCGTCTCCCCGTGAACAGTATCTCCGCGCAGTTTGGGAACACAACTCGCTGGCCGGACAACCCGCATCTGATCACCGCCACGACAGGTCCCCTCGAGGCGGGGACGCACACCTTCCACTGGAACCTCCAAGGCGGCCCTTGGTGCAAGTTCGAACCAGGTGCTGGAAATTCATTCAGCAGTGTGCTGCATGTCGGCGGCGGGACGTTCGAGTTTGTGGTCGCGGACGGCACGGCGGCAGCACCTGTACTTGCTGGTGTTTGCGGCGAGCCGGCAGGAATGATGAACTATGCCTCCGCGACTACATTCGCGAATGAATTGATACCGGGGATGGGGGATCGAACAATGACGTGCGGCGTTACAATGAGGGTCACTGCGACGGCGGAAAGTTGCAAAGCTACACTTGACCACGGACAGGCGAAGAGCGTGTCAAGTTTGATGGGGTGGGGGGAGTTTGCGACTTCGTCGGCGACGACATCGCCCACGGCCACTGGTGGTACTGACTCAAGCGAGGCGCGTGTTGTCTCGGTGCCAGTCCGGTCATTGAGTCTGATGATGGCTTATATGCTTGTGCATATTGTCTGAGTTATGGAAATGGTTTTGAGGATGGTAATGCTTGCGGCTATGATGGTTCTTAGTTCGCATTCAAGCGTTTCGTGGAGTTTTATTGATTGTGGTACCATTGAAACTATTGGCTTGACTGACTACTCATTGCATCGGTCGTCACTATCTATACACGGCAATTTCACCAAAAGAACGTCGTTGGTAATTGACGCACTTTGAACTCACGGAAACGTGCTCATTACTAAGGCCAAATAGCCAGGCTAGGCTCACTCTCCGGAACTTGCTCCGGAGGGTATCCACTAGCTCTGCTTGATCGGCCCCACCTAGATCGGAACACCATGAATACTTGCCCGGTCGCAGACACCGATTTCTCCGGCCACAGCTCCCTCACCTTGCCAAGGAATGGCTCGGTCTACGTGTCTTGACGGTTTGAGCTTTTACTCAGGTTGTTTGCAACTTGATTTGTGGCCAAATTTAACGCCTCAACGACTCTGACTCTGTGGTCAGCAACTCGAAATCTTATGGCGACATTAGAGAAGCAGGAACGGACCAGCGTTAAATGGGCCGGCTGCTGCTTCGACGAGTCCGGAGACCCTCCTGTCCAGATATGATCATAACGGGACACTGAAATTTGAAAGGAAACGTCCCATACAGAGCTCGAGCGGAGCGGAATCCTGGGGAAAATGTGGACTGTTGCCCGCCGGCGAGCGCCAAGTGCCAAGTCGCCGGCGGCAAATACGACCATAGCTGCATGCCCGATTCCGTGGTGTTGATTTATCACAAGCGTCGACTATGACGAGCCACAGTTCTACTTGTCCTTCCGTGTCTCTGGATACGATGCGGCTTCTACTAGCTCTTTTGACTTGAAATTTCACTTCTGAAAAACAACGTTCACCGGATTCATGAATTCAAGGGGATTGTGCGGGCTCAACCGCCAGGTGTTGGCGGTGTTGGCAAAGGGCGACAGCGGCCCAGCATTTAGAGCGCCCAAACGGACAAGTTTCCATCATTTCAAATTTCAGGAGAGTATTTTCGGGTTTTCAAGCTTGTAGAATCTTTACGTTTTAAAATCGCGATTGTCACATAATCTGCTTGAACAAAAAGCCCAGCCGAACGAAGAGCTTATCTCCAATTGATATCTGATTGGGAATTGATAAGGGGACCTGACGTCCAAGAAATACTAATACCTTGGCCGCCCGGGTTCTAGCCAGTGAGCATCTAACACTGAACTCTCGGCTGCTGGCCACGTCTCGCCAAAGGAAGTGAGGATCCGCAAGCGAGCAACAAGCATTTTTTAGAACCAGAATGGCTCCGGAGGTTCGCCAGATGATCCAAGGGTCAAGATCAAATTGCTCTATTCTTTTTACGGAGAAAAGGTCCAACGACTCCCAGGGGATATGGCCTAGGATCATCACCCACGCCGCCCTCGTGGGGCACCTGCACTTCCATGGATCCTTAAGGCGACGTCAGCGGGTCGGTCACTTCTGGGCAGTTCCCCACGATGTCGTTTGTCACTGGCCTTATCTCTTGGGTGAATCCATTACTCCGATAGATTGGAATAGCATGTCTTGGCTGAGGATGTTTATCTCTTTGCCCAGCATTAGCATTGGGGCGGCTGCATTGAGTTTCAGTGGCGGCTGATATCAGCGGCTTTGGCCCGTCGGCGGTGCAGGATCAGTCTGAGACGGCTGTATATAGACGAACGGATGTCCTCGGATGCAGGCAAAGGATTTCGACCGCGTAAATGCAAAGAAGTAAGATATCTCTTGCTCTCGTTTGATGCTAGCGTCACGAATTCGACACGTCGTTGTTTCTTGCCGCCTTCGCTAGTGAGCGTCCATGAGAGAGCATGGACTCGACTCCGGTTCTCCACCAAGGCTGGGGGTACGTCACACACTACAGTCTTTCTCGTCCGTCACACAAACTAGCCTTGACTGACATGTGATATGACAGCTATGGCCTAATGATCGGTCTCGGATTCCTTTTCGCGTAAGCCCGCGTATTGATATTGTTGTCGGTCACCAACTAAGCATCACCTCAGAGTGCTCATGATTGTTATCACGTGGGCGTTGAAGAGATACAATTATGAACTACAAACTTCCGAGATGTTCACCACTGCGGGCCGATCACTCAAGTCTGGCTTGGTACGTGGTAAGCAGTCGGGCGAAGGGATGATTAGCTAACTTGTAATAGGTTGCGTCTTCCGTGCTGTCAACCTGGACGTGGGCTGCAACCCTGCTGCAAAGCACTGCGGTCGCATACAAGTAGTGCGTCCTTGACCTCTTCCTTCGACATGAATTTTCACAGCTCATTAAAAAACACAGTGGTGTCTCTGGTCCGGTCTGGTACGCCTCCGGAGCCACGGTCCAAATCATCCTATTTGCGACGCTCGCGATCGAGCTGAAAAGACGAGCGCCAAATGCCCACACATGTATGATGCTGGAAGCTAAATGACGGCGCACTGTTTGCTGATCAACCCCAACAGTCCTAGAGGTAGTAAAGGCGAGATATGGTCCGGTTACGCACTGCGTATACATCGTATTTTGCTGCTTCTGTAACATTCTTGGTAAGCCTTGTAACAAGTATCATGGCAGGACTGAGCTAAGTCTAGACCCCAGTGACGGCGATGCTGCTCACCGGAGGATCAGCTGTGATCCAGAACCTTACTGGCGCTCCAGTAGCTGCTTCAGTTTTTCTCTTCCCCATTGGTAAGCACGCTTTGTTTGAAACGCAGCATACGGTGTGCTTGATGCTCATACATGAACAGGCGTCGTGGTGTATACACTTTTCGGCGGTATCAAAGCGACCTTCATCACGGACTACATCAACGGACTCGTCATCCTCATTATCATTTTCGTATTTGCGTTCGCAGTGTACTCGACGAACGACATTTTGGGCTCGCCGGGACGTGTGTGGGAAATCCTGACGGATTTGGCTGCTGAGCGGCCCTTGTCTGGCAATGCTGGCGGCAGTTATCTGACAATGAGATCACAGGGTGGAGGTATGCAAACATTCACGCTGACACCAGTAGATGACTGACAAGCTTTTAGTCGAGTTTTTCATCATCAACCTGTGCGGAAACTTTGGCACTGTGTTCCTCGATAACGGGTACTACAACAAGGCAATTGCAGCATCCCCGGTTGATGCACTGCCAGGATACGTCATGGGGTAAGGCCACCGCAATATGGGCCGACAGTTGTAGGCTAATTCGTTGTGACAGTGGAGTAAGTTGGTTCGCCGTTCCTTGGTTGACGGCGACAACCATGGGTCTTGCTGGACTGGCTCTGGAAAGATACGACATCTGGCCCTCATTCCCAAACCGGATGCCCGCAGCCGATGTCGATGCGGGCTTGGTTCTCCCAACAGTTGCCGTTGCTCTGCTTGGAAAAGGCGGCGCTATTGCAACCCTCATTCTCGCGGTAAGTATCACCCATCTCTCAAAGAACACGGGCTGACAGGACCAAGTTTATGGCCATCATGTCGACTTACAGCTCCGAACTCATCGCAATCTCGTCAATATGCACTTACGACATTTACAAGACGTACATCAACCCCGCGGCAACTGGCAAGCAACTCATGCGCATCAACTACATCGGTATGGCCGCGTTTGCCCTTGTTATGGCTGGTCTGGCGACCGGGTTCAACTACATTGGGATCTCTATGGGCTATCTGTACCTCATGATGGGTGTCATCATCTCCTCGGCTGTTCTCCCCGCAACTTTGACGCTCCTTTGGTCAGGCCAGTCCTGGGCTGCGGCAACCTTCAGCCCTATCATCGGCTTCGTCTTGTCCATGACGGCATGGCTAGTCACGACGAAGATCAAGTACGGCGAGCTGAGTGTTGAGACGACTGGAGCAAACACTCCAATGCTGGCTGGAAATCTCACTTCGCTACTCTCTCCTGTTGTCTTCATTCCACTTCTCACCTTCATCCCCCCCTTCAAGCATCAGAAGTACGACTGGCAAAGCATGCTCAACATCCGCAAGGGAGACGACCATGAGATTGTAGATGCTGCAAATGTTGACTTGGAGAACATGACTGGAAGAGCCCATGCTGTCGACAGCAACGTAGACGAGAGGGTAAAATTGGATCGTGCCGCAAAGATTGCCCGCTGGCTTACCGTCGTTGTAACCCTTGTTCTACTAATACTCTGGCCGATGCCGTTGTATGGCAGTGGTTATGTGTTCAGCAAGCAGGTATGTAAACGTTTCTTCCTTCTTATTATACATCGAACTAACGCTTGCAAAGTTCTTCACCGGATGGGTCGTGGTCGGCATTACCTGGCTTTTTGCTTCAGTCATCATGGTTGTATTCTTACCCATATTTGAATCTCGGAGTACAGTCATACGTACCACGCGAATGATGTTCAAAGATCTACTCGGTATGCGCGGCGGGAAGGTGATTAGCGAAGGTCACTCTCCTGGATCAAGAACACCACCGGAGCCTGCAAGTATGGCAAAGATGGAGCTCAAATCTTGACAAACAGGGGCATAACATAACACAAGGCGCATACCAAAGAGGCTTTGCATTTCTGCAGACGTATCATGGAAAACACATAGATCCTGTACAATGTCTTTTCGGTTACATACAATAGTCCCAAAATCCCGCAATCATGCCACACTCGTAACGCAATGCTTATCGGACAAATGCCTGCCCTTCTGCGAGTACATATGTCTACTGCCACACAGAAGACCGAATGTAAGTGTGCCTGGATGCTCCGTGACTGAAATCTGAGCCCACCCTGTCCACGGTGTCATTTATTGCGCAATGTAGCGCAATTTCCTCAAGTTCTGGAAACGACAGTCCCCCTTGATTGCTGATAAGCCAATCCACGGAATTCTCCTGCCCCCGAGAGACCCCATAGAATAACGTTCTCTTGAGGGTACGAGGAAGCGTAAAGAAGAAGTGATTGGGCTGCGGGTCGTACCAGCTGGGATGATTGCCATTGGCCGTCTCATCCACCGCAAGACCATGGGGGGTGTTTGAGTTGTCGATAGATCCAAGATCAATCCACAGGCTCTCAAGGTTGTTGAATGATGCAAGCGTTGAGATCTCACCCGAGCCCCGAATTCGATTAAATACGTCGATGCATAGAGTACGGAGAGACCTCGCATGTCTGCTCTGTAGGGCTTGAACGACAATACCGGGAGGTATGGCGAGGACGGAATAGTGAGACACTATGTATCTGAAGACCGATACAAGAGTGCAATGGTCGAGCATCCTGGCAAGTTCCTGCTCGTTAACCGGGCATCCGTTCAGTGTGATGTTCGTCAAGTCTTGAAACTTGGGGCCGGAGAAGTGGAAGCGTGAAAGCTTCATGTATAGAGGGAGGCCCTCTGCTTCGACGTAAAGGTTTCTGACGGGGCTCAAATCTACAACCAGGTCAAAATCATGGCAAAACAATAAGCCCCCCCCAAGATGGAGTCGAGGCCAGTTGCTGCAGTTTTCGAGTCTCACGGCCACGGACCGGAGATTGGGCAGACTCAGGCCTTTGAAAAAGGATGTAGAAGGCGGCTCCATCCCTCTAAAGACTCTGCTTAGCGTCTTGATGCCAATGTCTTCGACGTTGGTCATGTTGGCCAGAATGACTCTTGCAAGGAGACTAGTCCACTCGCATTGAAGATTGTCACTCGGGACCGGCGCTTTTGAGGATGATAATGCCGCTGGATACTGTACATTGCACGCTGTAGCCATCTTCAACACGAAGTCTAGGTGATATTGCTGAGGCGGTGGCGCTGAACCATACTTGGGGTAGACCTCGAAGGAAAGACCCATGTAGAGCATTCGTACCGCAGGACCAATTGCAGGATTCTTCTTCAGACTCCAGAGAAGGGAGACGACGCGCCAAAATGAATCGCCTTTGACAATGATTGTTCGGTAGAGACAGCCGCTGTCGGCGATACGGCGCCTCATTCGTCTGTTGGTGACTGAGAGACGTTCTATCGTACGCCAATCGTGTTGTAACGTGTCGTAAACCGTGCCAAAGTCGTACGTCACTCTGCTTGCGAGCACCTCATGCATTGGCCGAATTGGACGAAGAAAGGAGCAAATCATAAAAATGAGCTCAGGAGGAAGCTCGTCAAGTGCAGGTGTTCCCAGCCCCGTACGCAGAGACAGGGAACTGATGGCTTTGGCGCATTCGACATCATCTGGCTGTGTCCTGCCAGACACCATCAGTTCTTCCGACATTGTCCAGAGGAAGCTGGTTGTAAATCAGAGGGTGAAAGAGTGGGTTGCCACAGCTGTTTATCAGAGATGGAAGGATTCCAGATGAACTCTCAGTTAACTCAATTGGCTCTGAGCTCTTGGGCCAGTTAAGTAGGGCAAAGCTGGCGCGACCGATGCTTAAAGAAGAAGCTAGACCCACGATTCATTCTCGGTGATACATTCAAAGGGAGAAAGATGGAGAGCCTTCGTGCGTTCTTCGCGGAAAGCCATAGCAAAAAGCCTCTTCAGCCTGATGACTCGATCTTCAGACCACCTTTTCAAGGCTTTCACCAAGACTTTTCGTGTTCTATCATCTGGAAATGGTAAGAACTGCAAGAATATGATCATAATTAACCCTTTCACATTCATTTGGACTTCTTCACTCTTTGCTAGAATCTTTACCTGATGTGAAAGTCTAAAAAAAGATTCCCTGTGCCTGGTCGATTCATTTCATTTTATTGTGTCAACGTGCAAGTACTTAGTAGTCAAAATTCCAAGCTGCATATTTGCCTTTGATGACCACATATTTTCCTCCAGACATGATCGCATATCAATCCTTTCCAGCTCTGTGATTCAAGTATCTCAGAATGTGCTCAACCTCAGCATCGGCGGCCTCAAGAATATGAGTGGGGGCCAAATCGCGGGCTCCACCCGATTTGGCCGCCATGTTTAGCCGTCAACGTGCACCTGAGATTCAATCAGCACGGGAAGCAAAGAAGACATGGCAAGGGACGTAAACATTGAGCCATATGAACTTACTTTCCTTCTACTCTCATTGCAACGAGAGAGGAATCTGTGTTGAGTCCCTGTGCCATTTTCACCGAAGCAATGTCTTCAACAGGAGCGACAGTCTCATCCTCAATGATACCCCTGACTTTCAGCGCCAGCGCCATCGCGGCATATATTTCATCCCATGCGATGCTACCAGAAGCTGCCAGATAATAGCCATTCCTGCCGTGCCCGATGTTTTTGCCTTCGAGTATGGACCGCAGGATCTGCAGATACAGTGCTGTAATGTCGCTGATATGGCACACCGGCCAGGTCTGGGAAACTCGTCAAAACCCCTTCCCGTATCTCAAGAGATGAGCTTTACTCACAGGCCGACCAAGCGTGACCGAGTGAACCCGACCAGAAGCTATGGCTGCTTTGACGATGTCTGTGGTCTGGATAGATATGGTGTTCCCGAAACCTGCGCCCTTTCCATCTACGCAAAGTGTCAGTGGTTTAATAGGGTCCTGGTGTGTTGGCAGATAACTTCGGCTCCTTCAGAACTTAGACATGACGGATACTGCAGGGTAATGACGTGGTGAGGGATCAAGGGCATGACAAACGCGGCGGAGAGAACGCGGACATGAGGGGTACCTCGAAATATCCTTCCTCAACATCCAAGGCTGACGAATTTCCATTAAGACTTACACACAATGCACGGGGCAAAGATATAAGATCGTACCCCATGGGCTTCAGCTTCCTTGACGATCGTGTTGTCAGTGTCAACACACTTTGCATAGTCAGACAAATATTTTCCATGTCGGCTCTCGAGAACCTGCCTTCTGAAGAATCTCTGCTGGCGCTTTTTACTTTTTGTGAATGTCATAGAGGTTGGGGTCAATGTCAAAAAGCTTTCTGTCTGTCGGAGCGCCAGCGTCACTGGAAAAGATCTTTGCGCCAGATGTCTTGCAAAGAGTTTGTTAGCTTGAGGTGAAACAAGTATCGCCAATTAACGTCGGATTTACTGACGTGAAGAAAATGCACATCTTGCCCAGTGGTCTGCCTCAAGTCGCCCAAGGCTTTGATTAGGTTCTTTTGAGCGGTCGATTCGAAAACGTCGATCAAATAGAACACCACAGATATCTTGTTCTGCATAACCACATCTCTGACTGCCTTGGCATCCGTCAAGGACACGCTCAAGGGCTCAGCGCCGTATTGTTGGACTGCTTCCTTATGGACATCTGATCGAATCAATGCGTAGATCTTGTCACAGCCGCTCAAGCCGGAACTTTTCAACCCAGCAAACAGGCTACCTCCGAGGTAACCAGAGGCCCCGGTTAGGAGAACGTTATGGGGCTGGGCACTTTGCATGGGTGCTGTTGAGAAAGAACATGGGATATCTTGTTGGATGGATGGTAAGCTCCAGGGGAAGTCGGTTTCGGTGTTGCCATTTATGACTGGACGGACCCTTCCATGTCATTACAAGGGATTCATTTTCCGCGTTCTTGCGCATTCGTCAGACCCGGTTAATCGGCCGAGCAACTCTTCCTTTCACCTTCGTCATCCGATGTTAATCCAGGCGGGCACTAGCGGGAGTTTCTGCGAGGTGTCAGCCACCTGCATAATATGTGGGACCGTAGGCCCCCAAAATACGGCGCAAACGACCCCTACACCAAGGGAATACAGATGCAAATGTGGGGGGAGGAATTCTGGTAGATTTCTAAGGACTTTTCCGCAACGGCCGGTGAACGTTGTTCGCCTTATTCCAGTCCGCTGAAACCCCTCCTCGATTGCCCAGCTGGGCATGAAGTCCAGAGGCTACTAGCTCGGCGGCAATCTACTCTTCAGTTCATGAGACGACCTTTTCTCGCAAGAACATTCCCCCTCATGCCTGTCCAGCATGTGATATAGTCCTTAAAGCCGTGCGAGTCAAACCCTGCATGAGCAGGTTGGGCTGAATCATCAAGAAAGACAGAGGTTTGGGTTGTAACTGGTTACTCTACACCATGATATACTGTTTAGGGATTCGTGTTCGCTCTATGTACAGGTCTACGTATGTCAAACCGTAATGCGCAGTTGCCTCCTGTGATCATTATACATGGGAACGTCTTTACTGGGACCTCAAGGAAAGTGGATGAAAACCTTGATTTCGTCGTGCGCATCAAACCGGGCGTGGTATGCTGGCACATCCTCGATTGAGATACTTGCCGAGGCCACGAAATGAGGGCTCGCTTTGCCGCTACTGATAAGCTGTACCAGCATTGGTGCATACTCCTTCGGATCGACAGGGCCCGCTTGGAATTTCAATCGTTTGCCAAAGAAGTCCGAAAGGGGGAACGCAGCGATGGGCGAGAATGTGGATCCGAGAGGGGAGCCAGGCGAGTCGGGTTGGGCCATGTACACCCCAACCTGACCGATTCCACCTCTGACTTGGGTAAGGTTGACCATCTGGCTCAAAATGATGTTTGGCTCGTGCTCCAGCGTCGAGTTCAGGGCTTCGATGCCCACGCAGTCGACGGATCGCGTAACGCCGTTCGGCTCGGAGGCCAGGATTTGAGCGACGGGATCGCTGGTTGCGAAGTTGATGGGGATGGCTCCAATTGAGGCAGCGCGGTCAAGTCGGGCCTGTACATGATCAACCACATACACCTTTGAGGTGCCGCGAAGTACGGCAGAATAAGCCGCCAAAAGTCCGACCGGACCGGCCCCAAAGACCGCAACGGTATCTCCCGTCTCGAAGCCAGAGAAGTCAAGGCTAGCCCAACCGGTGGCGAAGATGTCAGAAATGGTAAGATAGTCTTGCTCGATGGTGATGTTGGTCGTCTGATGGGTCAGGGGAATCGGGATGAGGTTCGAGTCGGCGAATCTGACCCTGGCATATTCGGCTTTCGTGAGGTCAGTGACACATCCTTCTGGGCACGACCGGCTTTTCAATTCGGCTATGACGAAGTAAGGGACTTACATTGAAGACCATTGGGATATTTTCGACAGTCATCTCTCCAGGAACGCCTCGGTACATGATGCCGCGCATCAGAGCGCTGCCGAAAGAGCTGTTGAGAGCCATGTCGAAGAATGATGTTTGAACTCAACAAGTGTCATTAAAAACACCAAGTCCTCTCATAGTTGCGTCTGAGAAGACCGGCTTTTATGTGTCTTTCAGTTCGGCTATCTCGTGTTGACGCGTAACTCTGGTCTTGGCCTGTTGGATCAGGAACTCCCTCGGCGATGCTGTTGTTTCCTGATGCCTTGGCCTTGGATTCCACTCTAGTCTGGTGTTATCCATCACCGCTCCGTGGCCGAAGCAATTAGGCCGGATGCCAATTTCCAGTCTCCACTCCGACCCGGACGTGAACCCAGCCACAACACCCGGACCATGTCAGCAGACTGCCTGCCTTAACTCCAGCCAATCGTCTCACATGTGGAAAACACTGCGAAAGCCGAAAATTTAGCTGAAGAGACCGCCATTGATCATGCTGATATATCACTCAGTCATCACTCGAAGCGGCCTGATTGGTTTCGTCATCGATCACGCATAGCCACTGTGATCCACTACAAGATAGCGACATGCTCATATGACGCTTCAATGCCGTGGTTACAGCTCAGGTCGAACGGAAACATTTCGGGGCGCTCAACCACCTTGACTGAGCCTGTCCAGAATTAGTACACTCTGATGGAAAATTACAGATCGAGGGAGATTGTTCGATGGGCTGCATCCTCAGACATTGGATCGTAACCTGCTCTTGCATCCGGTCAGATTTATTGCACATACCCCAAAGCTTTGGTATTAGACACTCAGTTTGCAGGTGGTAATGGTGTGAAGATTTTAAGCCACCGATATATACTATGTGCATAAAGCTCCTGATTAGGAGGTCTTGGGGGTAATCGCTTGAGGAGCTTCAACCCAGTCAAAGTTGCCCATGAGCTTGGTCAGCCATACGTCTCCTGGGTGATACGCCCCCCGAGGAGGGCCGTCAAAAAGTGAGGTACCACTCAGGAAGGTGTGAGGAAATCCGGGATCAAAGTTATGAGACCTCTCAATTGTCTGGATGTCCTCCTCGGTAAGAGTAGTCCCAAGCCCCTTGATGTTGCCCTCAATGTGACTCAATTTTCGGCCACCAACAATGGGAAACACGAAAGGAGCCTTGTGCATCACATACGCCAGAGCGACATCTGTCAGAGATGCGCCGTTCGTGCTGGCAACCCTTTCCAGTGCTTTTGATACCTTCTTGTCATGCTCCGATGCCGTGTTTTGCCGTCTAGAGTTGTGCTTCTCGCGCTCCTTGAAACATTCCTCGGTTTGAAAGCGGCCAGCATTGAGAACTCCCCAGGGACAAATACCCATGCCCTCACTCATGCATATTGGGATAATTTCTCGCTCCAAATCTCGCATGGAAGCATTCCAATTGCCTTGATAAACGACAAATTGGCGAAGGCCCGACAGCCTCGCATATTGGTTCGCCTTGGCTGCCACCCAGGCAGGGGTATCCGAGATGCCCAGGTAATGCACCTTGCCAGACACGACCAGATCGTTAAGCGAGTGCATCACCTCTGGAATAGAGGCAGAATAGTCCCACCAGTGGAGGTACAAAACGTTGATGTAGGAGATCTGTAGCGCTTTCAGGGACTTTTCGACAGAGTGCTTGAGTGACTTGATGCTGTTGCCGCCGTAGTTGGACTGAAGCCGCTGCTTATCGTGCGTCATGTAGGCGCTGTTGTACTTCGTTGCTAGCACAATGTCGTCGCGATTGCCACGAGACGCAAGCCATTCGCCTACCCATTCCTCGGACTGGCCAAGCTGGTAGTTGTTCGCGGTGTCGATGAAGTTGCCGCCTTGACTATAGTAGTGATCCATGATGGCAAAGGCCGTGTCCTTGGTGCATTCTCCCATCGTTTCCTTGGAATTGTCTCCGAAGTTCATTGCCCGAAGGACAATTGGGGAGACTCGAATAGCTGCGGTGGGCGAGAACTGGCGATGACGAGCCAGAGGTGAATCAAGTGCGAATTGGAGTTGAGGAGTCCTTTTTGCTATCGTTCGTCAAACTTGTGAGAAAGATTAAACTCAAGGTAGCCAGTACCAGTTCAAGTGAGTGAGGATTTCTGATGAAATTTATTAAATGGTGCCGTTATTTTCTTTTTGGGTGTACGTGGTATTTGTACTTCAAGCCTCGGCGGTGGATCACAAATTCCCATATCACGATATTCCTGCTATGTCAGGTTACCAAAAACTGTCCTCTGTTTGTTGCCCCAGAGTATCTGCCGGAGTTGCTGCCGGATGACAGAAACACTAAGAGCGATAAATCCGCGTCCGCGACAGCTATTGTAACGAAACCCCAGCAGAAAGCCGGCATCCTGCCAGAAGGTTTCGCACCGGCATTCTGCGGGTAGGATACAGCTATGCACTGCCAACTCCAGAGACGAAACTTCCTGACCATAGTAGGCTATCACGGCTAACTCTCAAATAATATCGTTGTCAGATACCGTGACAGAGTCAGTGGGCTTTTCTGGCCCGCTCCTCATGCAACATGCCACACGGATAGAGTCATGGTACAAATGAAAAGGTCAGCGGGCAAGTCGGGATGGTCTTCACTTACTCCGTTTTCTTGAAAATAATGGCTAGATGCGGAGGGGAAATGTTCATTTTCCACACTGGACTGATGTGTATCCATGTCGTCGAAAACTGCCCTCCTTAATCATACACTACTGCAGCCTGCTGACGCGGTACGTACTACTTCCCATGCAACCCAACTTGACGGATACGAGCTTTTCAACATTGAACACACCTTCGGAATGGGGGTTGGCTCTTTTGCATTGTTCATGACGTCGTAGGAACTCTCAAACCTCTGAAGAAAGCTCTGTTGTCATACGACATCCGCAGCAAACTCAGAACTCCGTCATTGAGTATTGAATAGGGCTGGAAGCTAGCTGCAACCAATCTCTTACTCGACGCATTTCAGTTGTCTAGAAATCAAGTACCATTTATGACGATGCTAGAGAAATGAGGGTTATTCCTATCACCTCTTATAAATCCTAATACTGATACTTTTCTTTCCAACCTCCTTGCGCGTTAATCTTTTCGAATGTGTACTGAAAGACGACGCCATCAACGATCGAGTTTCCGTTTTTGACACACCGATTCACGTCGCCTTATTCGCCTCAAAAGTTGAGATTCCCATGGGCATATCAATCATCCGCTGATGCCGTAGAAAGTGGCTCAAGGCCAAGTAGCTGAGCGGCATGCAGGCTCCGATTTGAGACCCTCAGCACTATTCAGCGGGGCTGGCTATCCCAAAAGTTGCTTGCGTGGGACTTCGAGGAGCCGATTGCCAGCAACATCAACACTGGTATCTGGACTCGAAGGAACGCTTGTACACCTACATGGAAGAAATTGAATCATCTGCTTCCCTTGTAAATATTCTGAGCACGTGGATTGCAGAACCTCTCCCTTTACATGGTAAGTCATTCTTAGTTTGATTGACGAGTGTGGTTTGTCTTGCCATGCCTTAAAAACAAGTAAGCTTCTCCACGTTCAGAGGCCGGTGGCTTGCGCAGGGATAGACATCTGTGAGTTGAACGAGAATTGTCTTAAGATCTAAGACGTCGCACATCCCTGTCTTCAGCTTGGCTGTTTCCCTTCTTAGGGATGCCTGACTACATACCGAACGCTCAGCCGCTACGCCACATGTGGAAAATTGATGACGAGAAGTCTAGCCTTAGTCTACCTGTTCAACAGATTGACCGTCCGAATCATCGTCGGGGTCCCTTTTCAGTATTCAAGATTTCCCAATATTTCTTGGCATCAACTATTTAAGATCGATGTACCCACCGTGTCAGATGTAGCTCAACTTGCAAGTCCCAGAGCCTCAATCAGCCTTCGATCACCTTTTATCATTTCCTGGCTCATCATGAAATCGCCCGCATCATTAAGCATCCTCTTGTTTCTTTCTCGCGTTGCGTCTGCAGCAATATGCAACAATAACTGCGGCCGCCAAGTTGCGGGCACGGGTAGGAATGATCCATCTCTTGCTTCGAGGTCATCTCTTTGTGCGGCCTTCGTGAGTGCGCATGCCACGGTCCCTTCCACGTAAGCTAGAATGTCTAAAACAGCTTTTCCAAGGTGGTTCATAAGCTGACCTGAGGAACAGACCTCAACCCACTGTTACTCTGTCGGTTCCATCCCCCGTGCAGAAGAGAAATGTCCATGGCCCGCGTCAAGAGACCCCCGCGCCTACGATCCTTGGCACAAAGCCTGCGTACGCCAGCTCTTGCCCCGATGTAGCTGCCTATTGGTCGGCATGTCAATGCTTTGACGGTATCAAGCCGACACCCATCCCTGTGACGGAGCCGACAGGTGTCGCTTCTTCGACCGCTTCGGCTTCCTGCACCCCAGGCGCTGAGTTTGCTCTCCATGTGATTGAAGAGAGATCAAACTTGTGTAGGAACACTCTTCAAAACGAAGATGTCAGGGCCAATACGTACAATCTTGAAAATCTCGTGCAAGGCCGTGTTCCGGTCGGTATTGGTCGCGCAGAAGTTCCGAGATACAACCAAAATGACGAGAACCAACCAATCAACTACAGGGAGGTTCAAGGCCCCACAGGATCAACGATCAAGTGCAACTTTCTTGTCCATCGCGGCTACCTCAAGGCATCTCTCAGCGGATCTTATGAGTTCATCGTCGGTGAGGCTGACGACGTGGTGATGGTCTGGCTGGGGGATAAGGCCAAGTCAGGCTTCAACGCGAACAATGCCGATATCACAGTTTAGAAGGGCTTTCGCTCATATCCTTACAGCGAGTTCATCTACTTTGAAACCGTGGAGGAGTACATCCCCTTCCGTATCTTCTGGTCCAATGGCAGGGGTGGCGGAGCTTTCAGCTCCGGGGTCTATCCAGATTACACTCTAGGGCTGGACCTCCCCGAAGGTACTGTGATCGAGGACCCCAAGCTGTATGCAAGCTGCTCTGGGGATGCAAGCCCTGCCCCGGCTTGGCCTGCTTGGCAAGATGAGGTTTGGGGCTAGCGAGGTTTATTGAGTAAGAATGCTGTTACATGTCTCTTGGAGAGCTGGATACCTATCCAATGCTAATAGAGGTTAGATTCGGGGCGAAAGAAGCCCATCAAACCTGACATCCATGCTTCATCAAAGTCTCGGGTCCTGGAATCTGTGCGGAAATCCCCAGCTAAATAGAGAAAATAATACCTCCAGTTGCTTTGATATTATGACATAGCCGCCATCTCCTTTGTGCTTGTTTACGTTCTTCATATCGCGATATCTTCATTCTATCATCACAATACAGTCTGCATGCATCAAACAATTGCACCAAAAAATTGACACATCATGCTGCTTTGTTCCAGTCATGCCATATGTCCTGTTACTTGCACAAAATATTGAACCAGATCAAAGTCCATCAAACGCCCAATGTGCCATGCTAGATGTTCTCCCTGTTCTGCCGGTCTCGCTATCCTCTTTGGTTCGGAGAACGCGAAGTCGACATCTTGCTTGGCTCGTCTGTCGCTTCACGCAGTGGAGATCGCGACTTGTGTAATGCAAGTAATACAAATCGCCATAGGTACAGAGACGGGAGAGAGTCACCGGAGGGAATCCCATGATAGGAGCTCGGTGAACCATCCCGCCGAGGGCGACCTGCGAATTTCAATGGGGAGGCGGGATAGCCCGGATGCTCAGCAAAAGTACTTCTAATCAGGGGAAAGCCTCTAGAGAGGTGATCACCTCCGGGTGACGGTCATGGAAGCTGAAGTTGATGCAGTCAGTGCGCAGCGTAGCGGCATAACCCTGCTGCAAGCCGTCACCCGTTGGCTTCGGGACATTGTGTTATCAACAGGATGGCATGGGCGTTGTCTTTTGAACGCGAAGCTAGCCAATGGATCGCAAGCCTGAATCCAAGTGCTCATATCGACCAAGGACGCTGTAAAGTCCATCAAGATCAACGAGAAAACCCTACGAAGGTTCATTTGGGAATCGCGAAACATAGAGCACCTCGGAATTTCGATGTCAAGGGTGCGAGTAGGCCCTAGTGCCATCAATGACGGTATGGTGGGTACGGAGATTGTATCAGAATTGGATCGAATCGATAACGATTGCAGGCGGGACGGCTTGATTTCCATTTCACGATCGGTGAGGTGGGAGGAGGGTTGGTAGGGCATGTCGTAGCCGAAGTCTTCGACGTTCACTGCAAACTTCACTGCAAACTTCAAGAGAAGTTGCACGAGAATCCGGTTTCTGTCAATTCTGTGTAGAGATTCGTAGCTCTCAAACCATTTTCGGTGTTTGGGTGCCAGCATTGGGGACACTGTCTTACTGAGGAAGTCCAAGTCATCGGGCTGAATTGGGGGATTGTTGTCGCAGCGGGCTCTCGTGGAGTTGGCGTGGATTCGCTGGACCGACCGTCCATGTTCAGGCTTGGTGATTATCTGTCTCAGAGCACCGATGAACTCAGAAAGAGACCCGTCGACAGAGACAGTGGTGTAGAGAATGTCATGCCCAACAATGACATTCAAGTGGCGACAGGCCGCAGGCAGATGAACACAGGTCGTGGGATCGAGGGTCAAGTACTTGACATTGTGCGCTTTCGGGACCGAGGTAGGCGTAAAGACGGATCGCGAAAATATCGGGCCATATGAAAGACCGGATGAGATGTAAGAGCTGGGGAGGTAGATTTGTGATATGGGCCGTCTCTTGCGGAAAGAGAACTCAGTTTCCGTTTCTTTTTTCACGGCAAGCGACATCGAATGCGTCAGCGTACATCAATCGAAAGTGATGACTCAGGTAGGAAAAGCGAGGGAGTTGACAATGTTCATGTGGTGGTCGATTTGCAGGCTGTGACAGCTTGCTAAGGAGGAAGGGGCTGCTATGAGAGATAAAGGGGCTTGGCAACGCTTTAAGTGAGCGTCTTGATTGGAAAGCGTTGCTGTCTGTTAGAAGGATTCCCGGCCCGACTGTTTCCATGGGACTTTCTGAAAGTTTTCTTTCTTCGTCTCATTGAAATCTCTGTTTATCATCCCCTATGGAATGACTCGAAGTATTCCTCTCCACATGATTTAGTCTTTTATTTTCTTCAGCCAAGCCCCGGCAGTTGCAATCATCAGCATTCACAGTCTCTTCCCCTTTCTCGATTTTCCACACCTGAACACCAAAAGTAATAACTGAACAATAGATGCGCTGTTGTTGTTGTTGCTTTTGGCCTTTCACAGGGTTCTTAGTAAAGTCTCTTGCATGAACACCTAGCATTGCTGGCCATGGTATGCACGCTTGCCCGAGTCATGGTGACTGGGCGCTTGACCCGGGATGCCCGAATTGTGGGGGATGGAGAAGAGGACGCGATATTGTAGACGAGTCGACCAAGAGTCTCATCGTAAGACTTGAAGCTGATTATCTGGACGTTATCAGTTCTGAAGTCCTTCAAATCCAAGGTTCTGTAAATCTTACCGCATCAATCGGTCGAGGCGAGCTTGTCTAGATATTCAGCCAAGCCTTGCATGACAGAGGCAGAATTGCTGCAACTCTTTAACGGCTGGTTGTATGGTTTAAATCGCGAACTATTAATGTTTTTGTTTGCAAGTGCAAACTTTGTTTCTAGTAAAAAAAAAATTTGCCGGTGCAATCGTTGCGGTTGGCCGTGTTAAGGCTGACAGGGGAAAGGATCGAGGCGATCGGGCGGGCCGGAGTACGATGGCAGCCCACTTAATCTCGGCTTCCCCGTCCCGCACACAACATAGATCTCTGCGATACGTCCCCCGCGACGGAATCTTCGCCAATGGATGTCGAGCCAGAATGTAGATTGAGCATCACTGCAGCCAATATCGAAAATAAACAAGTCAAGGAATTGCCGCCGAAGTTTCCAAGACGGACATGGAGAGGAAACTCCTGCCGCCTCCGAACCATCGCAGTTTTGCGTGACAGCGTTCTTCGTATAAAGCATTGCAAACATTTTCTCAACTCAGTCGAACTCCCTTTTATTCAACAGACACATTCACTATCAAAACACATACACTTTCATCTCTTGCTACAAGACACTCCCAACCACACAGCCGCAAACCTTATACTACCACACTCAAAATGAAGTTCGCTACCGTCTTTGCCCTCATGTCTCTGGCCACTGCCGTGACCGCGAAGCACTACTGCTTCGGTGGTTGCGTCAAGTGCTACTGCGGCGATATCCAGTACGACGAGCACAGATGCTCCATGTGCAGCTGCAACCACAACGCATACAAGTCAACCGACGACAACAACAAGCAGGGCAACTGCGACCAGCCAGGTGGCTTCCACCTTGGCTGTGGCTACTCAAGCGGCGGAAAGTGCTACTAGAGCGTTACGAACGAACGACGAGATCAAAATTTGGAGCGTTAAAAATTTCGGCGAGATTTAATAAGGATGGAACTTGCGCCAGATCAGACCAATTCCTGCCACAGTCGAACGGAGGAGTCCACCTAGGGACAAGAGTTATGACCAAAAAAGGAACGCGGAAAAAGCGGACGATGAGTAAACGATGAGGACTTAGACACAATGACAGCATTTTCATACCGTACAATACCAATCACAGTCCTCCTGAGCTCTTCTGTGGCCTTCGTCGACTGAAAAAGCATGGGCCAAACATGCCGAATCTTCTAGGTCAAAGGTCAATTTCTCAAGCAAACAGGTACGTGAATGTCAGAGCCACGTATCAAGCAGAGAGCAGTATTTTTTGCTTTCCACAACTGTCAAATAACCTTGACTACTGATATTCCAATCTGATTGTGGCCCCATCTATATATTTCATGGGGTCAAATGCAGCAAATCTCAACAACATGCAGCCTTTGGGAGTCAAGATGGCACAATGGTGTATTTTCTGTTATTCAGTGCATTTGCAAGCCTTAGCCATCGTAGAATATCCTATGAAGTTCCACTGCGAGGAGAGTTCACTCACACCACGTCTTTGACCGCAGTTCACATAGAGACATCTCTTCAATCAAGCCCGTCGACTCCCCGAGGATGCTGCTCCCGGCTGGAACTGGAGCAAGGCTTGCCACGTAGGCAGGCAAGTCCTTCCAACAAACTCCTTCCTCGACTTCTTTCCTTTTTTCTTTTTTTTCGTTGTCATCAAATCTTCGCCTCCAAGTTGAGCAACTGGCGCCCATCACCATCTTCACCACCACAAATTTGAACAAGAAACTCATCCCAAAAGCTTGCCTACACTGCACTCTTGCACCCAGACTCAGGCAAAAGCACACAACGGCGAAGCTTACCAACCTTCCGGACGACGTTCTCTTCATCATCGCCGACCTGCTACGCCATCGCGGAATGACCATCGACGAAGCCTTTGCCCAGGCCCACAAAGATGACTCGGTTGACTCGGATCGCGCCATCAGCCGCTGTCTTCTGCGCGGCTTCGATGATGTCCGGAATCTGTCCTTCGCCTGCCATCGTTTCCAGTGTGTCATGAGACGGGCTTGGCCCCGCGTCAGCTTCACGGGATCGAATGCGACTCGGAAAATGGTCTCTTTCCTCGGATTTCTCGACAAATATCCTGAGATTCAAGGCTGGGTTCGCACAGTTTATCTGAACCTTGAACAGTCCCAGCGGACGAATCACCGTTTCGACAAGGCCTCGGTCGCTTTCCTGCGTCAGCAAGCTCAGCAAACTTCCAACAAGGGTGTCAAATGGTCGGAGCACGCCTGGCTGAGCAACGATCAAGGATGGCATGGTCATCGCATTGAGACGATTACTCTTCTTCTGCTTGCCAACCTCCCCAACCTGCAAGAACTTAGCCTTGCCCTCTCGGGAGGCAAGCCGATGACATCTTCCCATTACGACTTGGGGCAGAACTCCGACTCCACATTCCTTACCCTTTATCCCCAGCTCAGCTCTCTCGCTTTAAGGCCCGCCGACGGCACCATTCCCGTCTTTAAGGGACTGTACTCCATTATCGGCAAGACCGGTGCTGAGCCCACGCACTTGTACATCGACAACCTGTATCCAGTGCGCATGGGCTTGGAGTCCGCAGGCCTCTATCCCACCCTCTTCGAAAAGGTTACGCATCTCACTATCACCGGCACCATCTCAGGAGGTGAATACCGTGATGCGTTTGACTCGATGTCGTAATGCCCTCAAGTATCCAAGGCAGCCTCACGCTTAGAGGAAGGTATGAGGTAATCTACTTCTAACCTATTTATTTAAGCTAATAATATTCTAACGGATTAAGGTCTATTTTTAAAAAAGCTTTTTATATTAAACTCTAATTTAAAAAGGATTAAGCTATTTATTTATACAGATATTATATATATATTATAGTTAGCTTATAATGGTTTTAAACTTAGTTTATATTATACGTCTAAATTATTACTTTTAAAGTAAATTATAATTTGATTTAATTAATTTTATATTTATTATATTCTATTTTAACTTTTAAATATAATTTTTATAATTACTTTTAATTTATTACATATTTTCAATATAATAATAACTATTAATTTTAATATCTTTTATAAATCTATCCTTTATTATAACTTCTCTATTTAATATATTCTTTTAAAATAGAAATAAAAACTAAAGATACTCAGAAATATCTTCATTTAGATAATATTTTTAATTGTTTCTCTAATCTAAATAAAATTAAGAATATATCTTTATTTAATAATTAGATGTAAAGAAAGAATAAAGAATAATATAAATAGTATACAATAAAATAAAAGGCTTATAATAAGATTACTATTTTATATATTTTTATTATTATAAATATATAAAAAGCTATTAAAAATAACATAGCTAGAAATAGAATTATGAATAATTTATTATTATTAATATTAGTTATATTTATTTTATTTACTATGAGATTCAAAAATATTTTGAAGCTTTATATTTTAAACCTCACTATATGTCTTATTTATAAAGTAAAACATGTATAAGAAACAAATATATAAAGCTTTAAATAAATAAATTAAAACTTTATTTTTAAAAGAATCTTTATGTTTATTTAAATAAAACCTTTGGAAAAATAAAACTATACTGTTTATATTTTAATATATATTCAAAAATAACACTAGGTTTTAAATAACTTAAGTTATTTTATTATAATCTATAAGTAATATATTATAATTCTAAATTAAATAGTTTTTATTATTAATTTTAATATTTAGATTAAAAGTTTCTAAAGTATATTTCTTAATGCTTTTTAACATAAATTATTAAAAATAAAAAGCATTTGTATCTTAAAAATTCTTTTTAAATAATGTAATATTATTTTACTCTATTTTAAGCTAATTCAAAGCTTATTTATATTATTAAATAGAAATATTTTAGTAATAAAACTTTAAATATAAATTGATGTATTAATATATTTAAAGACTTTCTCTATATAAATATAATAAAACCCTATTTAAAAGTTATATTAACAAAGGTTTTATAATATTAGCGAAATAATTTAATAATATAATCTTTAATAACTTTATTTGAAAAAAGCGTTAATAAGATATATTAGTTTTTTATCACATATATAATAAAGATTATAAATAGATTTTATTTATTCATAATTATTTTAAATTTAATTTTATAAATAAAAAAGCCTATATAAGCTTTATAAAAGTAATTTAGGTTTGTTTTAAAATTAATAAACTAAACTATTTTAAACTTTATTTTAAAATATTTTATAAAAAGTATTCTATTATAGAAACCTTCAGCTTTTATTAATCTTATAATAATAAAGATTAAGATACAATAAAACTACGTTAAAAATAATTTTAATAAAATGAAAAAATTAATTATTATTTTAATTTTCAAAATAAACTTTTTCTCTAATATAATAGTTTATATTATTACTAAAACTATTATTATAAAACTTATAACAAAAGAAATAAACACTTTTATATTAAAACTTAAATTTAATAAAGTTTACATAATTTATTAAAGCGTAAAAGCTCTCTTTAATAATATACTATTTAATAACTATAGCATTTACTATTTCATTAAGAATATCTCTTTTTTTTAAACAAACTTAGTTATTTATAAAATAAAACAATAAAATAAAATAAATATAACTTTATATTTTATTATGATGAAAAATATAAAACTCTTTTATAATATCCTAAATAGAGTAAATAGATTTTAAAATTTAATACTTTATAATATTAGAAATAATAGAAAGAGTATAAAAACAAATTTTAAAAAAATAATATCATTTTTTTTAAATTACTAACTTTATTTTTTATGTTTTAGTCTTTAATATGTCTTTTTAGTAATATTTCAATTATGAATCTATTGGTTTTTATAGTAACTTATATTAAATAATATTTTTAAAACCTAATTTAAATTTATATTAGTATTAGAGAAATATGATATCTTTATTTTAAATATTTTGATTTAAAAACATCTAAAGGCTTTATTTTTATATTTAGAGAGTAAAACTCTAAAATATATTGTATTTTAAATATTAATATAATATAACTATATATATTAAATTGATTATATTACAATACACTTTACAATAAAAAACAATAACTATAACTCTTTTATAAAGTTTTATAAAACGTATTTAACTATTTAATAAGTTTTAATATAGATAAGCAACTTTCAAGTATTAAAAATAAATATATGCATTAACTCTTCATACTCCTATATATAGATAAAACTTAATATTTAGTTTTTACTATTATTTAAATATTTAAATATTAAATATAAAAATAGTATAGCTTTATATTATATAAAATTAAATTAAACAGTAAACATACTATAATTATAATTAATAAACTATTGGAGGTTTAGATCTAAATATTAGAAATAGAAATTAAAGTTAAATAAGCTTTTTTATATACTAAAAAGCTAAATAAAAATGTAAAATAAATAAGTTAGAAATTAATTATAAACGTTATTATGATATGTTAAATAATAAGCTTCCTGTTTATATTTTAAATTAAATGATATAAGCTATAGTATTTCTCTATAATATAAGCTTTTATTAATAACGAAGCTAGGTTTTACTAATTTAAGTAAAAAGAAACTAATTACAAAACTATGTAAAGTATTATAAACCTATTTATAAAATAAACCTCTTAATTAATTCTCACTCTTAATAAAGAAATATTTATACATATAGGTATAAAATATATTTTCTTAAAAAGAAAGAAAAAGAAATAGATATAATTTTAAAATTATAATATACACATACATTATATATTTAATAAAATATGTAGTAAATTTATATATTGTTTTATAAATTCTAAATGTTTTTATTTTCAAAAGTTATTATTATATAATATAAATTTTAATAAAAAGATACTTAATTTGAAAAATAATATAAAATCATTACTTAAAATAAAAAAGTTAATTTAATTACTAGTAAAATATAAAAATTGATATCTTTCATATTTCTGAACCTATAGCTTTTAGAAGTATAAAATAAAGCTAAGATTATATTAATAATAAATAATAGAATAATATTGTTATCTTCTTTCGTTAAAAGAACCTTAAATAGTTAATAATTAATAAATAAAATAGATGTTAACTTTTAAATTAAGTTTAAATTTAACTAAAATATATAGAACCTTAAGTTTAACGCTATTATCAAACTTTATTTAGAATAGTAATGTAATAAGAAAGATTTAAAATACTAACTAAAATGTAACCTCTATTAAAAACATAATCCTGAATAACATATATATTTAAATGGATATCCCTCTTCTATAAATTTTAAATATAAAAGATATTAATATATAATTATTCTTATATAATTATGCTTATAAAATAACTCTTTTATTTAGCTAATATAGCTATATTTAGAAACTAAACAAAATAATATTACTAAAGAGAAATTAGAATAGATATGTAACTGTGTTAAATTAAATCAACTTAAAATTATAAAACTAAAATAAACCTTTTATTTTAAAATATATTTTATGTTCCTCTAAATAAAGTGGAATTAAAATACCTTTTTTTAAGAATATATACTAAAGTAATAGAAAGCACTTAAAACAATAAAATAAACATACTAATTGTTTTATTATTTTAGCTTTATTTCAGTTTGTTAAATAAAACTAGAATAAATATCTATAGTATTAAATAGAAAAGTCTATATTAACCAACTTATTAAGCTATTTAGAACTTAGAGGGACATTTAATATATATTAAAACTATTTTACTTTTATTTTATTAAAATATATACCATTAACATTGATAAACTTAAACAAAATAAGCGTTTAGGATATTATAAATCAATTAAAAGCAAAACAAAACTAACATGTTTTAAATAAATATTTATATATAAGCTAAATTAATATAAATATTTTAACTACTATAAACCTAAAATCTATATTTAAAGTAACCCTTTAAAAAAGTACTTCTTATAATAAACTTTTATTATAACTTTTATTCTAAAAGTATTTAAAATTATTATAGCTGTAATAATATAATTTAATCTTAGAATTTACTAATATAATATTAGTAATATATTTTTAAACGCTATATATAAGCTAAATAACCTTTTGATTACTTATTACTTATCAAATAGCTTTAAAGAAAATATAAACATTATCAAATTATAATATATTTTATATAATCTTTCTAACGTTTTTTTATCTTAATATAAAAAGCTTTTAAAGATATTTTTTACTTTAGATTATATGTAATAAACAAAACCTTATATCTTTTTTAGTTTTATAATAAAAAAGTTTTTATACTTTTCTATATTAATGATGCCTTTTTTTATATTATCAAAACTATATAAAAAAAGGGAAAAAAGCAAGAAAACATTACAAAGAAATAGACACTAAAAAAATGGAAATAAATTAATGAATAGTTAGGAATTAGAATTATTTATAATTAAATAATATAAAATATTTATTTTTTATGTAATAAATGTATTAAATAAATTATAAATAAATTAAATTTTATTAATTTTAAAATACTAATTACACTTTTCTCCCTTATTTTGCTTTAAAAGTTTAATAAAAAAAGTAAACTTATAATAAGTCTTATTATATTAAAAAAAGAATTAAATTAACCCTCTATATTATAATAATAATATAATTAGACGTTATATTTATTTATATTTTATTATCATACTTTTTAGTAATCTATTTTTAAAACATTATCAAGCTATAAACTAAATAATA